TTTTCAAGGGCGGTCGAATTATTGCAATAGTAAGAGCAATAAATATCCCTACTTTCATCAATAAATTTGAAGAAGGGGCTGTCTATGCACTTCGAAACTATCAGGTCGAGAGTAACATTGGAATGTACAGATCCACCATTACCAAATACAGGTTTACTTACATGGTAGAACTGAACACATAAGCTACAAGGATGACTTTTCAATTTACCGTTTCGACTTTCGAAGGTTCATCACATTGATTGATGTCGAGAAGATCGACGAATCAATCCTATTCGATAATCGCATTTCAATTATTTTTATTAAGTTTTTAGAATTTTTATAATAAATAATAATTTTACTCTAATTTAACACATATTTAGATGTCATTGGAATGGTGGTCGAGATAAATCTTGTGTAATTGAAGAATAAAGCATAATACTATTTTAAGAGTGGTTCGATTTTTCAAGAACTAATGAATACTCTTCCTACAAGAACATCCTTGAAATTGTCTTGCATGACATTGATGTATGAATCACAATCAAAATTAATAACTAATCTTTCTCATATTTTACCCTAATTCTTAATATTATTTTTTTTTTTTTTACAGAGAGGTCGAATTTCAAAGAAGAAGTAACAACATTTTCTATTGTTAGGATGACAGGTGATTAAAATATGGTATCTATGTACAGTCAGTGGGTTACCGAGAAAGAAGTAAGTTTAATAAACAAAAACATAATCATGTTGATTTATAAACAATGATTAAATTCAATAACTTATAACTTTTTCTATAAAATTTTACAGGAGCCTAACTTCTTGACTTTAATACAACGTGAAGAGGCTAACGACGGCAAGGTCAATGTTCATTTTTCACACTTATTATTTTTCTTTAAAATTGAAAATTTATTTCATACAAATATACATATACAATTTAAATACTAAATTTTTATTTTGCAAATTGTTTCATAGGGCTGCACTGGAGAAGATGAAGTTTCAACACCTTTAAATCTCTCAAATGTAAAGAAAAGGTCGACAACGCTTCTAATGCAAGGCCAAGGTGGACGAGCAAATGATGAAATGAAAGACATTTTTGATGAAGAATTGATTTGCTAAGATATTATTGGTTTACTAAAGTATTTTATTATAATATTAGGATTTTATTTGCTTTGAATACTTTCATTGAATAAATTGGCTTCGACAACATGAATAATTTAGGTTTTAGTATTGGATTTCAGTTTGTTTGATTTTATATTTGGATATTATTGGTTATTAATGATATTGATTTTTATGGCTAATGTTGTACCATATTTTTAATGTATCTAATTATATTAATGTTTAATACATAACACTGGTAATCGAAATAAATAAAATTATAAATAAAAACATTGGAAATTTATTTTTTTTTCCTTTTTTTTTAACTTTTTTTTTATTAATGTAGATGTTAAAAGTTAAGTAAATTATAACAAACATTTATCACTTTATTTTTTTTTAAATAAAACAAAATCAAACCTATACAATTTAACAAAGGAATTAATTTAATACATTTTTTTGTCTTCCAATGTTTAAGTTAATAATATAACTACGCAGAACTAACTGTCTGATTTTGTAATAATTAAATTTTCCGAACAACAAGTACAGTGTATAAAATAAATAATTTAGAAATTAATTATAAATATTAAAGCCCCATACATAAAAAAATAACAATATTTCTTTATGTTGTAATTTTTTTCATGGAAGAGTTGATTATGAAACGTAATAATGGAATAAATAATATCAACACCTCACATTACTCAAGTAATTATAAGAAATAACATTCAAGTAAATAATCTATACATAATAAAAAGAGCAGTTGAGTTACATAACTCTAGCATTATAAAAAATAAAAAAAATAAAACAATTATTTAAAATTTTAATACATAACATAATTTATAACGTTTTTTATCGTCAAAATGGTAAGAGTTTGGGATTGATAGAGTCAACAACAAAACAACACTTTGTGGTTATCCAAAACTAATATAATACTAACACATGTTAAAAACACATGTAAACAAATATGACAGTTCTCCATATAGTTTCTTATGCCACGACTATAAAAAAGAGACAAGAACAATCCTTATCTCATGTTGACTTATTTGTTAAGAAACCAGTGTTCAGTCATGACCAATTATATGTTGTTGACTATGAACAAGAGACATGGACAATCATTATCTCATGTTGGCTTATTTCTTAAGAAAACAGTGTTCAGTCATGACCAGTTATATATTGTTGTCTCCCGTGTCACCAATTGAAAAGGTTTGAAAATGTTTATTTATGGGTAAGATGATCTACCAAAGAATCAAACTAATAATGTTGTATATAGAGAAGTGTTCAATAATATATGATTTTTTCAGTTTAATTATATGTTTATATGTCTAATCTTATGATCATTGCATTATTACCCAATTTATATACAAAATTATCTCTAAAAAGCACATAGATTATAATTTTCCCGTGCATCGCACGGGTGATTACTAGTTTTAATAACACGATGATCAAAATAATAGCAATTAAATTTCGGTCAAACTCTTTCTTCATTAATTAATTTCTAATAATAGTAACTTTGTTGTCTTTTTTTTTTCCACGTTCAGCAATAATTTAGGCGACCTGTTAATGCAATCCTCTTTTTTTCGGCATGAAGAGCGTATTAGGTCATCTGATTTGTTATGGAATCAAATTGATTCATTTCCTATTGAACTATTTGTAGTATAACTTTATTATCGGAATCTTTATTTGCTCCCATATCAAAGACTGAAAGATATACTTTTCTTCCCATTCACGTCAGTAGGCAAAACAATCGGAACAATATTATTGTGTTTTTAAATCAATAGCCTAAATAGACTTTTAATTGCAGTCTTTTCTAAATCAAAATTCTTAAGAAAAATTTGATTCATTAACGTCTCTTTAATTGCACAAATATAAATTACAAATATCTCTGCATTGAATCCATCGAGAAAACCACCTTCCTACTCCACTTTATCTTGCGAAAAAAAAAAGCAATTACTCTCATTCAAATAATGAATGCTCTATTTGGTTTAATTAAACAAGTTAATAGACCCCATCTTGAAAGTTAATAGGTCATATCTTGAGTTAGTTTTGCACGATAAAACTGTAAGCCAATTTGTTTTGAATTATTCTTTCAACATATTATAGTTTCATTTTTTTTTTTTTATATTGCTCAGTATATTTATACTTCATGTTCTAACTTCCCGTATATGTTATGGAAGTAGCATTATTCTTTTCAAGAGACACAATTGAAGGTTATGTTTTTTTTTTTTT